TAAAGTGGTTAACCAGTAATATGAGAGTTGAGGTAAAATGGGTTAGTAGGTCTGCTAATTCTTTGGCTGATGCTTTAGCAAAACAAGGGGCTTTTAGGGAAGATCTTTTTTGTGCTTCTATGTAAGTTGTTATTAATTTGGAAATCTGTACTTAACTAGCCCGGAGAGGTTGCAACTCATACCTTTCCTTGAGGTCTTTGTACTATTGTCTATTGCTGTTTTATAAAATCATTTCAATTATCAAAAAAAAAAGGAATAGCTTTGCTAAAATAGGCCACAGGTCTGCCCTCCTATAGCAGAACAGCCCCAAGTCTTGTACCAAAGGCTTTCCATTGGCCAACTCTGATTCTTTGGCTTGGTTTATGGAGTTCACCATAGTTGACTTTCCGTTAGCCAATTGTGTTTTGGCAATTCTGTTGGCATATTTAATTATCTAGTTGTTTGACATGGTTGGTTCCTCAGTCCAGTCGTCATGTTCGGCCTTTTGATGGCTAACTTCGATTCTTTAGCATGGTGTGTGTTGGCTTTCTATTGGCCAACTTCAACATGATCATTTAGGTTTCTAACATTCAACTTTGGTTTCTAAGAGGCCTCTTCAACATCTCAATTTTCAAGGTTGCTGCTTCAATAGTACACTTGTTTTCATGGAGGTTGCTTCAACATCCTTACTTGCAAACTCAAACCGGTTTCCCCACCTTGAGTTTGAGAGAGGGTGTAGAGAAATATATTGGATTTGGTTGTATTTGGGTTTTTGGAGGTTATAGGGGTATATTTGTAATGTTGATAAATTTTGGGGACTTGTATGTATATGGGAGGAAGAGGGGCATGTGTGAAATTCTGATATAATGTGGCTTGTTACTTATTTAAGCCATTGGTTGTGTGGGATTAGGGTTGAGTGAGAGGATATTCTATTGAGTAGGAAGAGGGATCTGTGTGAAATTCTGATATAATATTATTGGTTGTGTGGGATTAGGGTTGAGTGAGAGTGGATATTTTGTTGTGAGTCTGTAGAGAGGTCAACATGCATCTCTTGTTCTCATAGTAGTATTTTTCCCTCTCTTCCTGTGGATGTAGGCTACCAAGCCGAACCACATTAAATGTTGGTGTTTTCTTTATTTCTTCTTCTTATTTTGTTCTTGATTTCCTATTCTACTTTATGTTAGTTGACAGAAGATTATTCTTAAGAATATGGGAATGTAGTTCAAAGAACCATTAAGAATTGTATTGTCTCAATTAAGTAGCAACCAATATAGCACATAATCTCATTTGGCATAATCGGACAAAATACATTTGAGGTAGATCAACACTTTATTAGAAAAAAAAATCTTGGAAAGAGAAGTTTGTTCACCTTTTGTAAAGTTGAAGGCCCAACTAGTTGATGTATTTACAAAAGAAGATATACAAGCCTAGCTTATAAGTCAATTGAGCAAGAAGTTAGGCATAATCAGTATACATGTTCAACTTGAGGACGAGTGCTAGAATTTGTACCACACCATCATAGGGGTGTTTTTGTAATTTTACTTCTTAGTTAAATATAAAAGGACTCCTTAGGTTGGCTAATTGAGTTAGGTCAACACTAATATTTTTCTTCTCTTCTTTCTCTTCTCCCTTCCTCTCTTCTCTTCTTCCTAATTCTTCATTTTGATTTTAGATCTTAGTATACGCCAAGTCAATCAAAGATGCACAATTGACATGGACAAATTTGGAAGAAATGCATGTGTCTCAAACTTTTAAAGTTAAATATGTGTTTTTTCTAGATTTCTTTTAACTGGTTAAACATTAATGACATAAATCAGATATTAGTGACACTGCTATACCTGATCTAATGTATGCTGTGCAAAGTCAGTTGTAGATATCATAACTCCAGCAACAAATGATCCCAATTCAAGACTTAGGCCAAGCTTATCACTGCACTGAAGAAAATCATATGACACGAGTATTAGATTACTGAAGAAATTTTCATAAAAGGCCAAACGTTTATGCAGAGGATCTTCAATATGTGGCATCTATCACCTTAATATTTGGTTGATTAGGATAGACAAAGAAATATTTTTTTCATGTTATTTTTTGTGCTAGTTCCTGACCCAATAAATTAAAAGATAAAAGGACATGTTATCTCCTGTGAACTGTGGTGCATTTCCATACAACACAAATCTACAAATTTCCATCTCCAAGTGTAGATATTTAACATAAATATGATGTATGATGGTGTGTAATTGGCAGGAGCCTTGTGCACTGGGCTGCCCTTTATGATGGTGTGTAATTCTTCCATTTTTTTATCAATAACGTTGTAATTCCTCTGCTCCTCCTTTTGACTATATTCAATACTTTTATGCATTTTTTTATAAGTGAATTTAGACTTTATTAATTCTGAAATATATAATCATTACAAGCATCCCTCAAAGAGGCACGAGATGCTACCTCTCTATAAACAAAACAGAAAAATTACAAGTGAGCCCAAAACAAAGATTGTCTATTCACCCCTTTCTTGGCTAGAGTAATAGCTAATCTGTTTGCCGATCTCCTCACCCATTGTATCCTCAAATTCTTATTCTTGGTGATCCATAAAAACCTTCTAATTCATCCCTGTAGCACCATATCACAGATTCTGGATCCTTTAACCACCCCACCACCAATTTTGAGTCCCCTTCAATCACCAAATTGGTTATGTTCAGCTCTTTTGCAATTTGTGCTCCTTGTAAGGCTACAAGCAAATCTGCCTTGAGAGGATCCCCATATCCCAGTGGACCAGAAAACAAGGCTATTAATTTGCCTTCCATGTCTCTCACAACCCCCCCCCAATGCCAGCAAGTCCTGGATTCCCCCTGCTACTCCCATTAAAATTCAGTTTTACGTAGTCCTGAGGTGGGGGTGCCATGCAACATTTATTCTTTCCTTTCTAGAAGAGCTTCTTGCAACACCTTCCCAATTCCTCCATAAATCGTGAGGAGAAATTTGAGAAAACAGGTCCAAAGATTTGATCCAATGGATCACTCTAACCATCACACAATCCTTTATCTCTTCCTTGCTTCTATCCTTATCAAAGAAGAGTCCAGCATTCCTCTCTTCCGAAATGGTCCAAACTAAGGCTGCTCAAACACACCTCCACATTACTCTTCCCTTCTTTTTTGGCCAAGTAAACATAGAGGGATCAAACAGCAAGTTAACCTCCTCTGGTAAGGACCACCTGCACCCAAACAAAGAAAAAAACCAATTCCATATATCTGCAACAAAAGAGCAAAAAATCAGTAAGTGATAGCAACTCTCATTATCAGATCTGCACAAAACACACCAGTTTGGAGAGAGACATAAATTGGGTCTCCTCTTCTGTAGCACTTCCAAAGTATTAATTTTCCCATTTGTTCCCAACTCTTGAAAGATATATGTTTTATTTTGCTCATTTCAGACCATTCTTCTCAACTGTTCTCTTTTACATTCTTGACCACTATTAGCAGAAGAAAAGAGAAGAGAGAGAGAGAGAGAGAGAGAGAAGAGAGCAAGGAGAAGAGAAGAGAAAGGTTTGGAGAGTTCTAATCTGTCTGGCGGTGCCAGCTTTTGTTATTATACATAGGGCAACCATAAATAAAAGGGAAAAGACCCTTATGCCCCTGTTGTAGTCAAAGTACATAAACAAAGGAAAAAATACTATTTTAACCAGACCAAACAGGCCCTAACTAAGCAAAATACAATCATAAATATAAAGAAAAACACTCCAACACTCTCACTCAAGTTGGGACATAGATGTCAATCATGCCTAACTTGTCACACAAATTACTATGCGCACATGATGAAGGCCCTTGGTGAAGATGTTTGCAAGTTGTTCTTCTGAACTGACATATGGAGTGCACACTTCTCCACTCACAAGTTTTTCTCTAATAAAATGCTTGTCCACTTCAATATGTTTTGTTCTATCATGGAGGATTGGATTAGCAGCAATGTTGATAGCAGCTTTATTGTCACAATAGTGACATAGGTTTGTTAACTGCAAAACCCAGTTCACCTAACAAGTTTTTTATCCACATGATTTCAGCAACTCCATGAGACATAGCTTTGTATTCCACTTTAACACTAGACCTAGCTACCACACTTTGCTTCTTACTTCTCTAGGTGACTAAGTTTCCTCCCACAAAGGTACAATACCCACAAGGGGTGCAAGTCAGGCAAGTTGGGCCGGGTTTATGGTCAACCCAGGCCCAGCCCTAAAATTTGGGCTTAAGACCCAAGCCTAGCTCGCCCAATAAATTGATGCACTCAGGTTGGGCTCGGGCTTGGGTTGGTCAATGAACCCACTCTAAAATTATACATATATAAATGTATTTATGCAAATACATATAGATATATTTATGTATGTATGTAAATGTGTATGCAAAATATCTATATAAATGTTATATATACAAATATGCATGTATATATATATATATATGTAAATATGTAAGCAGCATTTACATATATACACATATATAAGTATAAATGTATATAATTGGATCGGGCTCGAGCTGGGTTCAGGCTACCTAAGGGCTAGGCCCGAGCCCGGCCCAAAAAATAAAAAAAACTGACTTCTTGGGCCCGAGCCCAGCCCGAGGACCGAAAATCCAAGCCCAACCCATGTAAAATTTCGGGTTGGGCTGGTTCAGGCTCGGGTTGAGCCCACCCAAGTTGCACCCCTAATACCTACTGGTAGACTTTCTGTCATCAACTACCCCTGTCCAATCAGCATCTATATACACTTCAACCTTCAAATGCCCATGTTTCTGGAATAGAAAACCAGCTCCCGGGAACTTCTTGAGGCATCTAAGGATCCTTTCTACAGCTTCAAAGTGAGTTGTCCTAGGATTATGCATATGAACTGACTAAGGGCACCCACTGCATAGGCAATATCAGGCTTGGTCATAGACAAGTATAAGAGTCTCCTTACAAGTCTCTAGAACTTCTTCACATCTTTCAAAAACTCCCCCTGACTATCTCCCAACTGATGTTTAGGCTCAACGGTTGAATCAATTGGCTTCACCCCCAACTTGTTTGCATCCTCTAATAGATCTAGTACATATTTCCTTTGGGAAATAAAGATGCCCTTCTGAGAGCGGGCAACTTCAATCCCAAGGAAATAACGTAGGGGGCCTAGATCTTTCACCTCGAATTGAGTTGCTAAGAATTTCTTTAGCTTTTGTATTTTAGTCTTCCAGTTTCCTATAATCACTATGTCATCAACATACACAATTAAAGCTGCAATTTTTCCTTCACCTTTCTTCACAAACAGAGTATGACCTAATTGGCATTGTTTGAACCCCACCTACTGTACAACTAAGTGAAACTTACTAAACTAGGTCACCATTCAAGAATGCATTTTTAATATCCAATTGGCGAAGTTCCCAGTCAAGATTGGCTAGTAGTGAAAGGAGGATTCTGAAATTCACCTTGGCTACTGGAGCAAAGGTCTCTGCATAGTCTACTCCATATACTTGTGTAAACCCATTGGCCACCAATCAGACTTTGTACCTTTCTATCGTACCATCAGCCCTATGCTTCACTGTGAACACCCACTTGCATCCCGCTGGTTCTTTTCCTTCAGGAAGATCCACCAATTCCCAAGTGCCATTTTTGTGTAAGGCATTAGTTTCTTCCTTCATTGCATCTGTCCATTCAGGTTTGGATAAAGCTTCTACCACATTTTTAGGAAAAAAACACTATCAACGAAGGAAAGGAACATGCGATATGAAGGAGAAATATGATCATAGGACACAAAGTGAGAGATGGGATAATTAGTAGTACAAGATCGAACACCCTTTCTCTCAATGTACCTGGCTGATGTGGAGGATCTGCCTCTGGAGAGTCTGATCATATTGGTTGCATAGTTTCAGGTTCCACGGCTCTTGAGCTCTATTGGCTCTTATGGTGGTGAAGGAAGACATGAAATGGAGGAGGATCAGGAAGAAGAGGTAATTGAGTCTGAGTCTGGGTGTGTTTCTCCTCCTCAACCCTACTCTCCCCTTAAAGAGAAACAGAGAAAAAATGTTGACTCTCAAAGAAGGATACATCCATGAAAACACTTCTTGCGTGAGGCAGGGTCGTAACAACAATAACCCTTTTGAGATAAAGGGTAACCAGGAAAAGCACAAGGAATGGCACGAGGATCGAGCTTACCGCAAGAAGGGGACAAGTCATGAACAAAGCAACGACACCCAAAGACACACATTGGAATGGAGAACAGAGGAGCCGTAGGAAACAAAAGTTGATGTGGAACCTTATATCCTAGTAACTGAGATGGCATACGGTTGATGAGATATGTAATATACATAATAGCATCCATCCAAAAGTGTTTCGGAACATTCATATGGAATAATAAACCACGAGCTAGTTCAAGAAGATGACGATTTTTCCTTTCAGTAACACCATTTTGCTTGAGTGTCCTAGCACAAGAGCTCTAATGAAGAGATTCATACGAAGCAAAGAATTCCGTAATATCACTATGGAAGTACTCATTTGCATTGTCCGACTAGAAAATATGAATCTCAGTTTGAAATTAAGTAAAAATCATGTGTTAAAAATCTTTCACAATCTTTGGCACTTCATCTCTAGATCACATAGGATAAACCCATGCATATCTAGAGTAGTCATCAATCAAAGTAACAAAATACTTATATCCAGTCTTAGAAGGACTTGAAAGAAGAAGAAGAAGAATTGTTTACTGTATTACAGGTTTGAAGAGAAGAAAAGAGAGAGAGAGAGAGAGAGAGAGAGAAGAGTGAAGATTGGAGAAAAGAAAGAAGGGGTTCGGTGGTGAATAATCTATCGCCCCATACACTCCTTTATTTATAGATTTTAGGATCTTTACAAGAATAGGAAATAAACAAAAATTAGAAACAATAAGGCTTGCTGGCCCAACTTAATAGAAATTAGAAACTATTAACAAAAC